TTTTCATAAATATAGGTAAGTATTGACAAACTAAATATTTCTAACTAACGGTGTACAATTTTAATTTATTAATTTGGTTCAATTTAAAATCAACATTAATTTTTATAATTAATTTTGGCAATAATTCAAAATTAACATTCTTCAGCATTAATAGAAATTTTAATGTTTCTTTTAATTTTTTCTTATTTTCTTTATAGTGTTATTAAGTAAACTGAAATGCACATAACAATTAATTATCATATGTAAAATGATATCTCCAACATAAAATTTATTTATTAATTACACGTCGTACATTACGGAAATCTTTAGTTTCATGAATTGCCTTACTTACATGGCATATATTACACATTTCTACTATGTACTCTTTTATGCTTCCTCATATACACAATTTCTCATTGGAACGTAATACTCTCTTTCAAACATTAACCTTGCTTTTATTTTCTTCTGTATTTTGTTATTCTTTTCCGTCTACTATCCCTCTTAATCTTTCAGTCCTATTCTGATCCTCTCTTACCGTTATAATTCAACAAAAAGGTTATGTGCAAATCGTATTCTAAATACATTAGCCTTCAATTTTAATCTTGCAACAGTTCATCCATGAAAGTAAATATGCAACGATTAAAATGTAGTTATATTTAAAAAACTGTATTTTACTGTTGTTATACATTTTTTTTTATTCTCAATTTTTCAGCGTCACTTATCTCATATATGCTTTCATTAAATGATTATAATTAAATATAAGTAAGCGCGACATAATAGTAGTAATATAAAATAATATATAATCATATATAATAGTTACAGTGAAGCATTAATTATTTAGATAATCTTAAAAACATGATGCTTAATAACAATAAAATTGGCATTTCTAGTGTTTATTGTGTTTCAATATTACACAAATTTTATACATTTTTACTTTTTTTAGTTATATATTTAAAAAAATGTCTTGGCAAGTTATATTTTTCGTAAGAGCCTATGAAATCTCTTGCAATTAAAATTATGTTTTGTTAATACTAAAAATAATATATTTTCTTATATTACGCATCTTTCATAATATCTTTTAGTATGAATAGCTACAATCGTTATTATATACACTTTCTTTCATGATACAGAAGTAAAATACTGTGTGTCGCAAATATATATGTATGTAAATATGTTTTCACGACACATAAAATTTTTTTTCAGATGCTTTAAACAGAACTTAGTATGGCATTAAGGAAAATTTCATTAAATATCAGACTAATATTTATTGTGATAACATTTTTCTCTATTTCTCAATTTATACAAACTGACACTGAAGTTAATCATCATTTGTTGAATTATATTGGTTTAGTACCATTGCATTATGATCTTAAAATAAAACTCGACTTCTCCAGAAATATCCTCTACGGCAAATGCAATATTACAATAAATATTACACGTCAAATGACAAATATAAGTATACCTTCAATAAATTTCGGTATACTTAAAATTTACTTGACTATCAATGATGATAATAGAATGATACACGTGCGAAAATATTCATTTATCAATGAAACACACATTTATATTGACTTCTCGAAGACGTCAGTAAATGTTTTATTTCCTGGAACGTATATCTTACAAATGATATATGTCCGCAACATATTTGATGAAATTTTGCTCGGATCTTTATATAGAGAAACTAGAGGGTTAAAAACGTAAGTGTAAATATTGAATTCTTAGACAAATAATGATTAAAATTTTATATAAAACATTTTAAAATAAAACAGATTAACAGAAACTGGTGTTGAGGTAATAAAAGCCCAACAAATATTTCCATGTTGGGATGAACTAGCGTTCAAGAGCACTTTTACCGTTTCTATTATGCTTCATAAAAATTTTACAGCCCTATCGAATATGTTGATAAATACAGAAGAATATATAGATAAAAGCAACATGATATGGGTACACTTTTACAAGTCGCCTTTCATGTCCATTCAACGTTTAACAATTGTGATAACCACATTTACTAATATTTTTCTCCAACCGCAAACTTTGCCTGCTCGTGTCACAATTTGGTGTAGAAAAAACATAGCACACAGTATGGTATTTGCACAACTCATCATTGAAGAGGTATTCCATTTTTTGAATAAAAGAAATCAGACGAAAATACCAAAAATAGATTACATTGCAATTTGGGATACACATCATAGGAACATTGAGACATGGGAACTCATTTTACACAGGTAGTATCCAGTTATTAGTTATTACAAATAACTTTTAAAATCAAATTTAAAAACAAACTTATCTATAATATTTTAGAACTAAAAATATATGTATTATTATATCAGGAAGTCATTTAAAGATTATCGTATACATCACTTGCATTACATCATAAAAAGTACTTTTATTTTAAACAGAAAATTAAAATAATTCTTTTTTAACATCAAATCAGATTTTAAATTAGATTTTAATATGTAAAGTATGGAAAATAATTGTACGTTTTATGTTGTACAAAAGGAGTTATAAATATTATTTATTGCATCAAGAATATAAAAATACCATGAATATTTCTAATTTAACACTTCTGCAATTTTTTTTAATTGTGATGTCATTATTCATAAATGTTCAAAATATTTCTCCTTTTTTTTTTTAATATTCTGAATAAATGATTATTTAAGTGAGAGAACACACAATTTTACAATGTTATTTTTTATAAACACAGAAAAATATATTGTTTATTAAATAAATATCAAAACAAACTTGCTTAAGTATAACTTCACTTCTTTTTGGTATAAAATTAAAAAATAACAATTTTTTAAATTGTCAACCTAAAATCGTTAAATATTTTTTTAAAAATTTTTAAGTAAATAATTTTACGGGTTAGCACTCGAAATCATCTAATTTTGCAATAATTTGTATTATATTTACAATACACAAATTTATTAAATTGCATAATTCTAACAAAATTTTGAGATAAAATTCTAATACTTGAAAACCATTTTCAGAGAAGAAGATATTACTTACAATGAAGCATTAGATTCCATTGCACGCAAAATAGAAGTGGCTAACTTACTAGCACGTCAAGTAATATCTATTTGGTACGATTATTTGTCATGGCCAATAGAAGGTTTTACAACATACTTTGCAGCGCATATCTTGGGAAAGGTTTAATTTTCTTGTTTAATATTCTTATATATAACAAATTTATGTTTTATAAAACAACAAAAACAACCAAAAATTTAATAGCAGCCATTACCAACTCTAAATTCATATTTATAATGCAAAAATAATATGCATTTAAATATTTGTTTTAACTTAGTAAATTTTTCAGATTCCGTCGATATCCTACATACATGACTTATTTATTGTCCAAGTACTACAAGATTCTCTTCGCTTTGACATTCCTTCTTATAATTATAATTCTATACAACACAGTAATGACTTAGATGTTCAAATAAATAAAACTTTCCTTAATTATATCAAACGTAAGTTAAAATAAATATATTTAATATATTTAATTGACTATGTATGATAAAAATAAATATAATTTTAAAATATTGATAGTATTTATACATAAACTTATACATAATGTACATAGATAAAAAAAAATGTGAAAAAATATACCTACAAACAGATTAAAATAGAATTTATTTGCTTACAAGCTTTATTTATATATTATGACGATTAAAAAACATTTTAAAGTATGTAATAAATACTTCATAATTTTAATTGATACAGCACCCGTTTTATGGTATATATTACAACATATCCTAGAAGAAAACATGTGGAATAGTATCCGCACATATACTGATAACCGCGCATACACTAGGTGAGTAATATTTCACGATATAATAATTACGTAACAAAATTGAATATTGGACAAAAATAACATTCTTCAATTCTACTATGAGTGAGCATGGTATTATATTTAAGACCATTTCAAAGTTGTCAAACTATCTTTTATTTACAAAATAGCAAGTAACGTGTTGTCTATATCTAAAACTAATGTATAATTTTCTTTAATATAAATAAGATATTGATTGTTTTTAAATATTAAATTGAACTTTTTTAAACCTGTCAAATTATCTTCTTTTAAAAATATTAAGCAATATAGTTGATCACATATAGTTGATCTTTCAAATTAAAGTATTATATTTATTACTGTAAATAATACAATTGGTTTTTAGGGTTATTGCAAATTAATATGAATTATTTCGAAAACTAATATTGAAAGCTGTAGATAAATAAAAAACATTATACTATAAAAAACAGTATACAAGTTACATTCAAAGCTTATTATTATAATATAATTTAAAGTTTGAAATTACAAAGACATGATTTGGTCTACAATTTTATTGACAGCAAACTTGATCCTTTCTAAATATAAGGCTAGATAAAAAAAAACTTTCAAAATAAAAAAAATTATTTATATTACTGTTGATTTACTGGTACAAACATGTAGATATTAATATTTTGATAAACTAAATTATAATTTTACAGATATAATCAGTCAAGTTCGATAAACACCAATGATTTATGGCACATTATACAAACTTTCGATATTTCTCCTTATTTTTCTTTATTAAGTTTAAAAGAATATATTGACATTTGGATAAAGAAAAATTATTATCCTGTACTGCACGTGACATTAAACGCAACAAATGACAGGATATCATTCTCATATCTCAGTTCTTCGTATATCAACGAAAACATGGAACAACTTCCCGCATTAGTAACATATACGATTATACAAAAAGAAGCTAACAATACTTTAGACGTATTTGTTTTGCTATCATCGCAACACACAATACTTACAAATATTAAAAATGTATTTGAGGTGGTTGATGAAAATTATTGCGTCATAGTCAATGTTAACCAAACAGGTAACTATACAATATTATATTTGTTATGCCTCAATCTTTATTTTGTACAATCAAGATTATGCAACATTCTGATTTTGCCTTTTCCACTTTCTGCTAATTAAAATTAATTTTGCATTTTATTCAAAACTGATGATTATGTATTTAGAGGGTGGCCCACCTAACTTGAGCATTTTAAATATCTTACTTGTTTTTGATAATACGAAAAAACGTAATCAGAAAAAAAAACTGATGACTTTTCTGACGTTTTATACAGGGTGTCTGTCACAACGTGTCTCACCGAAAAGAGACAAGTAGATCTCGTTATTCTGAACAAAAAAGTTCTATAACATTTTGCAAACAACCACGTAAAATTTCAAGTAATTAATTAAAAAAGATTGGCCAATAAGCGCGCGATCTCAGACACGACAGCGCGCGCGAGACGAAAAGTTATCGTTTATGCGTCGCCTTTTTGTGCCGTCTTCCGCCCGATTCGTCGCGAGCAGCAATCGCGCGTTTCGGGCAGGCGATAGGCCGTACGCCCAGATGTGTCAACAACGGTGCGTGTTATCGTCACCGCCGCTACGGTCAGCCCAATGCCCAATCGCGCACTTATTGGCAAATCTTTTTTAATTAATTACTCGAAATTTTACGTGGTTGTTTGCAAAATAAGGTAATTGTTTACTATCACTGCCTCACCTCCGATTTTGATCCAATTAGGCTCTTTCGACGTCGTTTTTTTTTTTTTAAAACTTTTTCCTTCTCGCAAAATTGTCGCTCTCCTCCGCGAGACGAGATATTTAGCGTCAAAGTTGACGACTTTCCAGGTTAAGAACCTGTCACTTCGATGAAATGGATATGTGCTGTGGTCACGCGCGCATGCGTACTAATAGAATTGTGCACGAATATAAATATATTTTCGATAATCATTAATGTAAATCGCAAACCCACGTTAAGTAGTATAATTATGAACTTTGCTTTGCGTAGACACAGGGTATTCCGCCCCCCCTCCGGGGGGGCGGACCCCCTGTGTAAAATAAAAAT